AAAAAAAAAAAAAGAAAAAGAAAGAAAGAAATCCGACCCGCTTCAATCCTTACCAAAAAAAAGGCGTAATCTTGATGGTGTCCATTTGATGGCACCTACAACTACCCTGGTGGCTCCTGCTGAGACCAAGCAGGTTAACTGAGACCAATGATGGCTTTAAAGAGTGATTAACGATCTCCTCTCCCACTATAAGTTCATAAAAACAGCAGGCCCACTTAATAATTCATATGCTTTTTCAAAGTGTATCACTGGACTTGATCACAAGATGACAGACCAGCAGCTTATAAAAAATTATATTTATAAATCTACCAGTAATAGAATCAATTCCGTCGTGAAAGACCAAAGTAACATTCTAGCAATGTGCCCCAAGAGTTTGGAGATCGTCAAGTCAAACAAGTATGGATGGAAATTACCAAGTGAATTTTTACAGGGAGACTGCAGGAGAGAGCCGTGGCCCAAAGGCTGAGTTAACAGCTTTATGATCAAGGAAAGGTCAGGTGGTCTCAAGCACCTAAAGCCAGATCAGTCATGGGCCCCTGGCCATCGCTGCATTTACCCAACATCCTCCAGCCCCTACGTGTCCAGTCTGTGCTGCAGCTCCCAGGCAGCCCTGCCTGCAGTCAGGGGAGCACAGCAGGCAGCTCTGTGAGTCCTCTAGAAACAGAGACATCAGCATCCCCAAGAACCTTGTCAAAAAAAGCAGACTCTGCTTCCTCTCCTTGACCTACAAAATGGGGATCTGCTTTTTGATATGATCTCCAAGAAGCACCCAGAGCACGGGCTGTTCTGGGCCCTTCTCTGCCTACTGAAGTCCTGCTCATGCCGTTCAATGTTCCCCTCAACACTGCCACCTCCTCCCCATGCCTTCTTTCTCTGTTTCTCCCTGCCAGACATTATTGTATTCCACCCTCTCCAGGAAAGCTTGCTCATCTGTGATGGCATTTCTCTGCCTCCTGAGCTTTTTGTGGGTGGGGCCAGTCCATCCCTTGCAACTCCCAAGGCACCAAGCACAGTAACTTGCACACAGCCAGCAAATGGGGACTCAACAAGCCACTAAAACCCTCTATCTACAATTCGGTACATCTTAACAATCTATGGTCCTTTCACATCTCTATTCTAAGTCAGCACATTAAAGATGTGGGGTTTGGTGGTCAAAGGATACAAAAATTTCAGTTACTAGGAAGAACCAGGTCAAGAGATCATTGTACAATACGACTAGTTAATAACAATGTTATTCAATACAGTGACTAGTTAATAACTATGTATTATATTTTGAAAATAGCCGAGATTGTAGATTTTAAATGTTCTCATCACCCAAAAAGGTAAGTATGTGAGCTAATAGAAAACTAATGCTGCCTGCCTACCGCCATGTTGATAAGCACTCCTTGAGCCATTCTACATGGTATTCACATTTCAAAAGATCATGTTGTATGGAGTAAATATGTACAAGGTTTATTTTTCAATAAAACAAAATACATGGGTCTTTAAACATACACTCTGCACTTTTCCTAATGGCTCTCCCTACAGAACCACAGACTTTAATCTTGCATTTGAATCACGCGCCTAACTTGCAATCAGTTCACAAAAGAAATAGTGGGCATAAGGGAATGTCCTAAACTTTCTCTTTTGTTTTTCACCCCTGTAATCGGATCTAGTAATCTTTGGCAAGAAATAACACACTGTACTGATGAATTACGAATGTTTCTGGTATGCTAACTTCAACCATATTTGTGTGGGAAGGTAACACCTACATTCTTAAATATTAAAATAAATATGGCTTCAAGAATTATGCAAATCTAATAGGATTTAGAACAAAATAGGCAAAAAAGAAATCTCTGCTCTCTAGTTCACGATTAATATAACAAGTTTTTTAAAACAAAATAAAAAATAGAGTAAATTAGACAGTGATAAGAACAAAGGAGAAAAATTGAAGCAGAGAAGAACAAGTGGAACTGGGGCCAGGGTATTTCAAAGTCTAGAGAGAGTGGCTCTGGGAGGCCTTCCTGAGAAGGAGTTCCTGGAAGCAGGGCATGGCTGCCCGGAGGGACAGCATTTGAGGCAGAGAGGTGAGGGCTCTGGGACAGGGCAGAGGGCACTGAGAAGGCTCTCAGGAGGGGAGGCCAGACCCATGGAGCCCCCAGGTGCAGTGAGTTCTCTGGCTCTCCTGAGTGCCATGGATGCGTAGTACCATCTCATCTGGGTCTTAAAAGGGCCACCAGCTACTCTGTGGAAAACAGACTACTGTCAGGACAGAGTGGAGAGAGGGAGAAGGTCCCTGCAACCTCCTGGGGAGAGAGGGTGGTGGCAGGGATCAGGGTGGGGGCTGCACAGGTGGTGGGACATGCTGAATTCTGGGTGTATTTTGAAGGTAGAGCCCACAGATTTGCAGATAGATGACCGGATGGGAGAGGAAGAGGGGAGAGGAGCAGGACACTACAGTTTTGGCTCGAGCATCTGGAAGAATGGCACTGCCATCATCAAGATGGGAGGCCCAGAGGAGGACAGGGTTGAGGTGGGGTTGTCAGGAGCTCAGTTTTAGATAATGTTAAGGCTGAAATGCCTATTTAGCTTCAAATTGAGTTGGTTACTGGATATATGGGGTCATGAGTCCAGAAGAAAGGTCTGCAATTAAGACGTAATTGGGTGAGTATAGACAGAAAAGAGGGCGGCTAAGGGCTAAGCCTGGGGCACTCTAATTCCATTACTGATAGAAAAGAGCCTGGAGACCTAGATTTAAATGTCACTCTGCCAGTAACTGAGTGTGGCACCTGGTCTCCAAGATGGTCCCCAATATCCCTCCCTAGGACTCTCAGCCTGTGACACACAATGAATAGAGCTGACCTGTTACCCTGCAGAAATGATTTCACAGGTGTGTGATTTCACAGGCTAGGTCAGAAGTTACTGTGATTTCTGCCTTGCACACTCACACTCACACATATGTATTCTCTCTCTCTCTTTCTCTCTGATCACTCACTTTGGGGAAAACCAGTGCCATGTCAGGGGGACACACAAGCAGCCCTATGAAGAGGTCCAAGTACCAAAAAACTAATGCCGCCTGCCTACCACCATGTGCATGGGCTATCTTGGATGTGGGTCCCCCAACCCCCAAATAAGATGACACAGCCCCAGGGGGAAGCTTGACCAAAGCCACCCTGAAATTTCGCAGAAACTGAAAGATAATAATGGTTTGTGGTTTTAAGCCACTAAGTTATGGGGTAGTTATACAGCATTAAATAATACATTACACGAGGAAAAACATCTTATTGCTAAAAACCTAATTAATATAAATTATCCGGGGCAGTGCCTGTGGCTCAAAAGGGTAGGGCGCTGGCCCCATATGCTGGAGGTGGCGGGTTCAAACCCAGCCCCGGCCAAAAACTGCAAAAAAAAAAAAAAAAAAAAATTATATATAAATTATCTATTACTCATTGGCTACAGATACCTACAAATCAAGCACTATACCGGCACTTCTCATTCCATACCACTGAGTCCCCTAACATGCCTAAGAGGTAAATATTGACCCCATTTTACAGATAAAGGAAATAAAGGTCCTATGACGTACACACTGGACAGCAAGTGGCAGGGCCTGGATTTATTGGCCAAGATTTGATCCTCAGTCTTTCTAGGTCTTATAACGTCACTGTACTATTTCCCTATTAGTTCCAGAAAATAATACCTACCTTCTTTGCACGACCAAAGAGTAAGCATGTACAAAATCAAAACAAAAATGGATGTAAAAGGGCTCTCTACATGAGAAAACACCATATACAAGGAAGGAAGATGGTATGATCTACACATACATAGTTTTTAAACCGTAATACCACATGGTTATACGCTTTGTTTTCTAGCCTACTA